TTAAAATCCTTAATAGTTTTAATCCTCCCGGATACCATTTGAAATTTAAATTTTTTTCTATTCTATTCTTTTCTATTCTTTTTCTTATCCTTCCCCTTTGTTTTCTTTTTCACTCCTGGAACAACAAGAAGAAGTTGTTAGAAAGAGAGAAAGAGATAGAGAGAGAGAGAGAGAGAGTTTATTAATACATAAGCTAAACATTAATTTTTTAATTTTGGTATTTTATTACGTTTTCGAACCGAAATTTTTTGTTTTTTTTTTTTTTTTGGAATATGCCAAATTTTGCACACTCAAAAAAAACTTTTTTTTTATTTTTTTATTTTTTTACTGTCTCGTTTGTTCGTTTTTTGTTAATGAGTACAAACATAAAAAATTTACATCCTGTCGGATTGAAATTAGTTAAAAAAAAAAAAAAAATTAATTTTGGTTCGTTAGACGATTTGAAACGAAGACATTTTTTTTTTTTTTTTTTTTTTTTTGGTTTTTTTATTATAATTAGTCTGGAAAGAAAAAAAGAAAGAAAGAAAGAAAAAAAATTTGTTATAAACGACGCCGCACGTTTTAATAATTTAACCCAAAAAAAATTTACCATTATTATTATTATTATTGAATCGATAATAATAATAATAAAATTTAGATTTTTTATGTATGCGAAAATTTACACGTGATTTCGTTTTTTTTCCTTAACTTCATTTATTAATTTTTTTTATTTAAATGTTTTAAAAAAAAGAGAAAAAGTTTCGTTTCCGGTTTTTTTCCCTACTTATTACTACAACCGGAAATGGAAAACCGCCAATATGTCGCAGTTTATATAAGCCTATTAATTTTTAAAATTTAAAATAAAAAATAAATCGTTTTTGTAAAAAAAAAAAAAAAATATAAAAAAAATTTAAAACAACAAAAACAAACGGTACAATTTTTCTAATCTTTTCCCCCCCCCCCTCTCGTTCTCTTCTTCTTCTTTTTTTCTTCTCTCCTTTTAAATGATTTCACAAAAAGGAAGATCATAATAAGTTTAGACGTGTCTCTACGAAGGCATCATATTTTATTACAAACACACACGTCATTTTTTTTATAATCACATTTTCCTGTTTTAATACCAAAAAAAAACTGACAGAAAAAGTATAGAAGGAGAAGAAGAAAAAGAAGAAGCAGTAGTAGTAGTAGTAGTAGTAGTAGTGGTAGTAGTGGCAGTAGAAAAAGAGAAACATAAAATTTAAAAAAGAAAAATAAAAATTTTACAAAAAAAAAAAATATTAATTTTAAATCTTACATTAATTAAGATGTTGGTTATTGAAGATTTTAATAATTTTTAGACACGCACGCACACGCATCTTCCTCCTTTTAAATATTTAAATAATAATAATAATAATAATAATAATATCATTAATTATGGCG